CATCGTGCAGGCGTCCACCGGCGAGCTGCTGCGCTGCCTGGGCGATTTCGTGTGCCGACGCTGCTACCGTCTCAAGGAGCTGAGCCCCGGCGAGCTGGTGGGCTGGTTCCGCGGGGTGGACCGCTCGCTGCTGCTGCAGGGCTGGCAAGACCAGGCCTTCATTACGCCCGCCAACCTGGTGTTCGTGTACCTGCTGTGCCGCGAGTCGCTGCGCGGGGATGAGCTGGCGTCGGCCGCCGAGCTGCAGGCCGCTTTCCTCACCTGCCTCTACCTCGCCTACTCCTACATGGGCAACGAGATCTCATACCCGCTCAAGCCCTTCCTCGTGGAGCCCGACAAGGAGCGCTTCTGGCAACGCTGCCTGCGCCTCATCCAGCGGCTCAGCCCCCAGATGCTGCGGCTCAACGCCGACCCCCACTTCTTCACGCAGGTCTTTCAAGACCTCAAGAACGAGGGCGAGGCTGCCGCGGGCGCCGGGGGTCCACCCAACGGGGGCGCGCCCGCGGCCCCCGCCTCCTCCTCGGCCGCCAGGGACAGCTGCGCGACCGGAGCCAAGCACTGGACTATGAACCTGGACCGCTAGGGATTCCCAAGGGCCGCGCCCGCCCCCCACCCCAGCCCCTGACACGCACTCGGAGCCCCCGGGACCATCAAGCCGCCGCCGCTATTACCGCTGCTCCGGGCCGTGGCCGGAGGAGGAGCCGCCCCTGTCCCGCAGGGGAAGGTGGAGGCCAGGATGCCAGAGGCCACGGCTCTGGATTTGCTGGGCATAGGGTGGGGGTGGGGGATGAGCACGGGAGGGGGACCCCCAACCTCGCCCTTTCTGTCTGCCTGTGCCCCCCCATCTCTCCAATTCTACCCGGGTCTCCTCCTTCCCTTCCGTGTGTATCTGTAAGTCCATCTCCCTCGGTTTTGACCATTTCCTCGCCTCCTTCCTGTATCTTCATCTTTCCTCCTGTCTGCCTTCCCATCTCCCTCTCTGCCTTTCCATTTTCCATCTGTATTTCCATCTCCATCTTACCCCCTACCTGACTATCATTGCCCCCCTTTCTCATTCTGCACCTGTGTCCCCATCTCCCCTTCTCGTTCTCTTTTCCTTGCTCCTCGCATGTGTCACCATCTTCCCTCCTGTCTGCTTACCCCGCCCCCCCGCCTATGTCAGCTTGCATTTTTCCCCCTACTGAGCCCCCACATCCCCTTTCCCAGACCAAAGGGAATATTAATTCTTGATTTGGACTGACTTCGGTGCAGCGAGAAACTGCAGCCCCAGGAGCCCAGACAACCACCAGGATGGTCATTCGCCCCACCCCCACCTCCTCTCCCTACCTTTTCCAACGTGTTGCATGCCGGGAGTTGGGGGGGGAGGGAGATGCCGGCTTCAGGAGGCTGAGGTTTGGGGGCAAAATCAACCTAGGAGGCCACCCCGGCGGCGGCGGCGCCTCAGCGGAAGGGCGGGAGGAGACAGAAACTCTTCTTACTCTGGGGGAGGGGTACCCCTCTTCCGTATCTTTAGGTGTTTTTTTTCCTCCCCTTTTAATTTATTTGGTTGTTTCCAGAGGGAGGGGGGAGGGGTGGGTATTGGGCCGGGAGCTGTCTGAGGTGCTGATTTGAGGCCGGACCGGAATCCTCCCGGGAGGGTACCAGGGACTGGGTTGGGCCTGGTGCCGTGTCCAAGGTGCCAATGATGCGGGCCGACGGCGCGGGCTGCACTGTCTGTCTGTCCGTCTGTCCCAGAGAGAACTATAAAGCGCTGGAAGCGCCTGCAGATGGTTTTGCGCCGGCCTTTCTTTGGGCCCCGGGAGGGAGGGAGTGGGATTGGGAGTGAAACAGTCACAGATAGGGCAGGAGGGCCCCCATGGGCCTAGTGGGGGAGATGGGTCCCTGAGAACTGCTACTCTTTCCGTCCCCCCGCCCCCACATTGGCTTCCATTTTATTGAGAGTAAAGTAGCCAAAGGTTGAGGCCTGGTGATAAAGTGGAATCCCCTCACACATTACTTCTCCATCTTGTCTCATCTAGCTTTTCATTAATGCGCAGACCATTTAGGGATTAAATGATGAGGACAGCAAAAGTTGTACCCTTTACAAAGTAGTCCACTGAGGTAGAACTAGCTAGTTATGATTGCTGCTTTTCTCTTCTTCCTCCATCTCTCCCCACTATATATACTGTCTAGAGTCTAGTTAGGCCTGACTAAGCCTGTGCTCACCACTCTCGGGTGGGGCCTGACTGTCACACTCAGCTCCACACCCCTCCTCCAAACTCCTGGGTTGTTTCAAGGCCATTTCAGTCACACGCCCACCCAGGATAGCCTTGGGAAGTCCATCCCTGCTTAAGATTCAGATCTGGCCCTTTATCCCCAGGGAGGCTAGGACACAGGCAGCCTGGGAGACAGGAGCCGTTCTTAGGGGTTGAAAGAAGAGAAATAAGCTTTTTAGCCGGAGATTCCTGTCCCGTTGCCTTTTTCGCCACGTGGCTAAGCGCCCCATTCAGTTTCATTGACCCAAGGAGGCCTGGCTCCAGTAGAGCGCTGGCGTCTCTGACCCTGGTCGCCGCCTAGACCTCGAGGATCAGGAGTCAGAACCCCGCGGCCTGAAAGACTAGGCCCGGGTTCGCTGTCCGTGGTGCTGACCGGCACGCCGGGGCAGGGTGGGGGCTTGCGGGGGCGGGAGGAGTTGCAGACTCGGCTTCACCTAGATTTTCTGAATAATTTGGTAGCAGGTTGTGATCTCTTCTGATGGCGAGTTGCAGGCGTCTGGCCCGAGAACCCAAGAACGCCGGCTTCCATTTGCCCTCCTAAGAGGACAGACCGCTACTCTACCCCGGCCTCGGCCCAGCGCCCTTGCACCCGGCCTGGAGCCGGAAATCCCCAGTCCAGATTTGTGAATCGAATTCCCGGGGGGGAGGGAGGGGAGAAGCGGGAGAGCTGGCGGAAGGGAAGGCGGGAGCAGCCGCCCATTGGCTGGAATTTGGCGCAGTCAGCGCGGTGCCGTCATCTTTCTGGGTTTGGTAGGAGGGAGGGAGGAGCACTTGGGTCACCCCGCGGCTGTCGCCATAGTAACCAGACTGAGCGGGCGGGGCCACCTTTCCACTCTCCCCACACTAGCGGAGGAAACAATCCTAGGCTGCCTTATTTAGAACTAGTTAGCAAGACTACTTGATTGGAACTTCTGCGTTAGAAGAGTCTAAAGTGGGTGGGAAAGAGAGACCAGAGAGCCTACCGAGACCCCCCAAACATCCTGCTTTTGGCGGGATCTCTAGGTACTGCCCCGGAACCCACAGACACAGCATCCTCCCTTTACCACACACACACACACACACACCCACACCCATCCAGGAACCTGTGGTCTGGCACTTGGAGACTTAGAATGAGAAAAAAGCCTCAGTGCTTGGTGTCAAATTAAATCTCACTTTCCTTGCCATGCCCCGAGGCATGAGACACCGCCATAATCCGATTAAGGGGTAAGCGACTGGAGGAGGATCAGCATGAATACATGGAAGAATTAGCCTCCTGGGTCAAACCTGGTCAGACTCCTGTTTTGTAAGGGAAGGCTGGTCACATGGCAAAAGGCTCAGTCTTCTGAGAAGGCAAGGTGAGAAGGGAGAAAGTGCAGAAACAGAGTAAGGTGCCTTCTCTTTACTGCCCAGAAGTGAACCTCAGGGAAGTGAGTCCAGGCTGAGGAGGGTAGTGGTGAAGAGGGCTCAGAGTTCTAGAAAGAGCCCAGCCTGGGTGAGGGGCCGACTGAGGAAAGAATGGAGATGGAGAATAGGATACAGAAACACAGCTGGAGCCGTGACTCAGCACTTCCCCTGGCAAAGGACTGGCTCCCCCAGCAAAGGAGCAGCAGAGAGGGGAGGGAAGCAGGAAAGCAAATGTGTGGATAGACAGTGATCTGACCATTTGTTGCATATCATTTGTTGCATGGATATATAACCAAAGGCACACATTTTAACCCAGAGAGCAGGTACATATACATTTATACTGATGAAGGCTCCTTCAGACATAACATGTACACATCTCCACTGCCTACTTCCCTGCCCCTCTTCCTGGAGCAGAGGACATTCTGTCCTGAGAGCTATGCTTGCTTGTCCCTGTAATACCTTGGTACTTAATGGGAAAGGAGAAATGAAAAAAAAAAAAATCGCAGATGTGGGGGCGGGGGGTGTTGGTTGTCATGGTAGCTGCTTTGCCTGCCAGACAGAGTGCCCAGCAACCAGAGCATCTGGCAATATCCAAGGGGACATCCTGTGGCCTCTACCTATGGGGACTCTGCCTCAGGCCCCCAGATGGGCATCTCTGGAAGATTTTCACAACAGAGGCTGCCACAGCAACCCCTTCCAGCCACATCACCATGACCAAAGACAGGTGACAGCCAGGTATGGAGGGCTGACCATCTTTACATGCCCCACTTTAAGTGGTACTCCTGATCCCTTTATACATGATAAACAACATTTGCTGTCAGTGACCTCAAGACAGCAGGTGTTAACACTTTAAGGACCTTCATTAAGACTGTTACTTTCCCTCAGAACACCTTGCTAAACACCCTACAAGAAGGTCATGTATATCCACACAGGCTAGGTGTGTAAATGCGGGCTAGGAAAATTGTTTTAGTTCGGTGATGAAAGATTGGGTGCAAAATAGATAAACTGCAGGGGTTAGTCTCAGGATTCAATACATTAGTTGACCTTAGTTTAATACATTGATGAGATTTAAAGTCAGTCTCTCTGTTGCACTTACAGGCAACCCCCACCTCTATTTTTGTTTTTTCTTTCCTCTATCTTAGGTTTAACATCTTAGTTTCTGGATTAAAATTCCCCCAATCTAGATTAAGCTTTCATGTTTTTCTTTCCCCCTGGATTTTTTCCCACTATTTCTTTAGTAATTAGCTGCTCCTAGGGTCTCTTTCTATTTGGAGATATTGCCCACAGTAGTTACTCCCCTTTCTTAAGACTTCCTCTCCCCCATTTCTTTACACCCCTTGGTCATAGTCTCCTGTGATTGATATTTATCTTCAAGTCACAAATCATAAAATTAGTTTCTCTGTGTGCATTTTTATATATGACTACCTAAAAGGAAAGAGGGGTTATCACCATTCTGTTATAATCTTTCAACATTTTACTCCTTAAAAAAAAAAATAATAATTTACATACAATCCCAGAAAAACACAGAATATCAAGTAAAACATAAGAAAGAAGAGTAATGATGGAGGGCTTGCCCTACCATGTACTTAAATGTATTATAGAACTAAGGTAGTTAAAATATATGGCACTGACTTAGGAATAGAAAATAGAACAGAATAGATATTCCAAAGCTGAACTCTGGCATACATGGGAATTTACTATATGATAAAGGCACCATTTCAAATCCACTGGGAAAGATGGATTAGTCAGCATATGGTTTTGTACAACTGGGTAGTCATTTATATGAAGAAAAAAGGTCAATTATTCCTCATTCTTTACCCCAAAATAAATTCCAGGTTTTTTTTAATGTAAAGGAAAAAGCTATAAAACCCTTAAAAGAGAAGACAGTTTTTTTTTTAAGATTTTATTTATTTGAGAAAGAGAGTACAAGTGGGGGGGTGGGGCAGAGGGAGAAGCAGCCTCCCCGCTGAGCAAGGAGCCTGATGCTGGATCCCGCGAGCCAAGACAGACGCTTAACTGACTGAGCCACCTAGGCGCCCCAAAGAAGAGGAGACAGTTTAAAAGTACCTACTAAAAATTTAAATGCACATAGCTTTCTATTCAGGAATTCTGATTTCTAGTACTGACCCTGGAGAAATACTTGAATATGTGCACATAGAGACATGATAAAGATATTTTTATTGTGTTATTGTTTGGAGAGAGATAAATTAGAATCAATGTAAATATTCACCAGTATGTTAGAGGTTAAATAAGCTTTGATACAGCCAAATTACTGAATACTACAGTGTTCAGTTAAAAAGAATGGATTAGACTATATGTACTGATGAAAGATCTACAAAACATGTAGTATCATT